TCTTTATTAGTAAGTGCTTCAAGTCATCCTCACTTTCAGCACACAAAGTTGTGTCGTCAGTGTATCCCAGGTTGTTAATGACTCTTCCTCCAATCTGGATGCCACATTCTTCATATAGTCCAGCTTCTCGGATTATTTGTTCAGCATACAGATTGAATAAGTATGGTGAAAGGATACAACCCTGACACACTCCAATGATTTTAAACCATGCAGTGTTCCCTTTTTCTGTTTGAATGACAGCCTCCTGGTCTATGTACAAGTTCCTAATGAGTACAATTAAGTATTCTGGAATTCCCATTCTTCTCAATGTTAGCCACAATTTGTTATGATCCACACAATCAAGCACTTTTGCATGGTCAATAAAACACAAGTAAACATCTTTCTGGTATTTTGAGCCAAGATCCATCTTACATTAGCAATGAAATCCCTCATTCCATATCCTCTTCTGAATCTATTCTGCACCTCTGGAAGTTCTCTGTCAATATACTGCTACAACCGTTTTTGAATTATCGTCAGTAAGATTTTACTTGCATGTGATATTAATGATACTGTTTGATAATTTCCACATTCTGTGGGATCAGCTTTGTTTGGAATGGGTACAGATATGGATCTCTTCCAGTCAGTTGGCCAGGTAGCTGTCTTCCAAATCTCTTGGCATAACTGAGTGATTGCCTCCAGCGGGGCATCTGTATGTTGAAACATCTCAATGGGTATTCTATCAATTCCTGGAGCCTTGTTCCTCACCAATTCCCTCAGTATAGCTTCGATCTCTTCCCTCAATACCATTGGTTCTTGAACATATGCCACCTCCTGAAAAGAATGAAGATCAACCAGTTCTTTTTGGTACAGTGGCTCTGTGTATTCCTTCCATCTTCTTTTGATGCTTCCTGCATCATTCAATATTTTGCCCATAGAATATTTCATTATTACAACTCAAGGCTTAAATTTTTTCCTCAGTTCTTTCAGCTTGAGAAACGCCAAGCATGTTTTTCCTTTTTGGCTAGAAAACTCCAGGTCTTTGCACATTTCATTATAGTGATTGTCCTTGTCTGTTCAAGCTGCTCTTTGAAATCTTCTGTTCAGCTCTTTTATCTTGTCATTTCTTTCATTTGCTTTAGCTACTTTTTGTTCAGGGGAAAGTTTCAGAGTCTCTTCTGACATCCGTTATGGTTTTCTTACCTTTTTAATGATCTCTTGCTTTCTTCATGGATGGTGCTCTTGAGGTCATCCCCCAATTCTGGTTTTTGGTCATTGGTGTTCAATGCATCAAATCTCCTCTTTAGATGGTCTCTAAATTCAGGAGGGATATATTCAAGATCATACTTTGGCTCTCGTGAACTTGTTTTAATTGTCTTCAAGTTGAACTTGCATAGGAGCAGTTGATGGTCTGTTCTACAATCAGCTCCTGGCCAGGTTTTGGCTGAAGATACTGAGCTTTTCCATCGCCTCTTGCCACAGATGTAGTCAGTCTGATTCCTGTACTCTGTCTGGCGAAGTCCACTTGTATAGCCGCCATTTGTGTTGTTGAAAAAGGTATTTGCAATAAATAAGTCATTGGTCTTGCAAAATTCTGTCATGTGATCACCAGCATTATTTCTGTCACCAAAGCCAAATTTTCTAACTACTGGTGATTCTTCTTTGTTTCCAACTTTTGCATTCTAATCACCAGTGATAAGCAACACATCTTCATTGCATGTTCAGCCAATTTCAGACTGCAGAAGTTGATAAAAATCTT